GTAACAACAGGTTTAAAATAGACTTCCAGGGATCCTAAAACAACAGAGGAGGACTCACAGGGACCACTGGGTCCAAACACCAACACTTCTGTTTTCTTTTCATTAAAATTTAAAAAGTTTAGAGCCAACCAAGTTTTAATTTCATCTAGACATGTTAAGAGAGGTTTTATGGAGATGCCATCCTTGTGTTTTAGTGGCAAATAAATTTGGCAGTCATCGGCATAACAATGAAAGGCTTAAGGTTTGCATTATTAGGGGCGTGGTCTCTCCAACTGACAGGTGGATGGTGACACAGGTGGGTGTAGCTGCTAGCTTCACCCGAACTGCACCTCAGCATCGTGTTTGTGCTGCTTGAGAGTTTTGGAGCATTTTAATGACATCATGTGACCAATAACATGGCTGCTGTGAGGTCACTGTACTAACAGATTGTGCAGGAAGGCGGAGCTCCAGATTTAGTGCAGGGGAAATTTCTAGGATTTTGATTGGCTGTTACTGATTAGGTGGTGTAGCTGATACCTTAGCACACCCTCACGGTCACTTCAGTCTCCAGAAAACACGACTGGACTCTGAAGCTTGGATATGTTGAGTTCAAAACTAGCCGGTGCCTTTACCTCCACCTTTTTTTAAATCTTTGTCAGCACAGTGGTGCAGAGAGAGAGGAGTATCCTTTATTGTCCATCCTTCTGCATGCACGGTGACACTCAAATGGAGTCACACAGAAGTAAGGAATAAGAGACTGTACAGGACTAGTTACACACTAACTACAGGAAATGGAGAAACTGTGCAAATACCAGCAGGATGTTGGTATTTATTGACTTCATAACCAGTGATGGTTATGAAATCTAACGGGGAGGAAGGACCTGTGACAGAACTGGACCTCTCCAGCTTCATGTGTGTGTGTGTTAGTGTGTGTGTGGGCTTCCTGATGAGCTTATCCAACTGATAGTCGATAACGCTAACACACAGCATGGCTGACGCCACCCTCAGAACCACGTCCTCTGTCTCCTCAGCAGGTGGAGTCTGCTCTCAGTCTTCCTGTAAAGAGCATCAGTGAACACCCAGGTACTTCATTACTGTACCTGTGTAGAACTTTCAGGTATCTGTACTTTACTATTTATTTTTCCTGAAACGTTTTACCCCAAACCTTTGTACACAAACATCTGTTCTTGCTCCTCCTTACATTGTCAAAACAGGCTTGTTGCTTTAGGTTTAACGTCTAAACGTCTTGATCCTAAACCCTGTTGGTTTATTGATCACTGAGGGATGTCCCACAGAGGTGAAACCTTTAATTTATGCATCTTTAAAGCGCATTACTCAGAGGTTAATGGTGTTCACGGTGCCGATGTTAATAAAGTTGCAGTACTTCAGCGCTACAGAAGAGGATCGGGCATAAAGGGAGGAGCTCAGCAAACATCAGCAAACACACAAACTGTTGGTGTGTGTGTTTGTCTCAGTGTGTGTGTGATCTGAAGGTCCAGCTGCTGGATCACAGCATGAGATGGAGAGAGGGGGAAGAAAGAGCACAGGGAGGAAGAAGACCGTTGGATTTAAACATAAGGACTGTTCTGTAACTCTGTGTTGTTGAACAGGTCAGCTGATCACAGCATCACAATGTGCTGCTACAGCCACGGAGAGCTCCTCCACCTTCTTACACCATGCTGTAACAGCTGATTTCTGTTTATGGTGGAGGTGTAACTCCACTCAGTCTATATGTCCGGTGCTGTATGAGTAAAATTCTCTGGACTCAAGATGGGTAGAGCTCAGGCATGGTTTATTCCCCTTTTGTGGGTCTCTGCAATAACATGGGACATGAATAACCATGGATTTCTAACGGGATAAGCTTAGGGAAAACCAGCTTACCAGTAGCAGACTTCCATTGCAGATTTTCAAAATAAAGGTTTTAAAATCAAATCTTTCAAAAATAAACCCATGGTTGCGATCCCAAGTTTAACAGGAATTTAACCACAACAAAACCATGTTCATTCTTTTACATTGTTACAGAGGCAAATTACAAACTTCCTGCCCTGACGCTGAGTGTGAGCTGATAGGGAGCACACCAAAGAGTTCAAATGAACTGAATAAAAACAGCAGAGTGTTGTGTTGGGTTCTTGAATAAAGACTCGTGCTCAAGCAATAACATGG